TGTGGATAACTTTACATCAGATAATGATTACATTCACTGCTGGGCTGTTTGGGTTAACTATAGGACAGGTAAAACAGGTGTTTGTGTGTAGGCGATCAGGTATGGCTGCTGTGTTGTGTTTGTTAGAGGTGTGCTGGTTTTAGTTTTGATTGTCAGTCATCATAGTTTACAACATTTGTTACTGTTACATACCATACAGTGAGCTGTTTGTGGTATAGAGATATTAAAACTGCCAGTTTCATGTTAAAGACCATTGTTTACACTTGTGGCATCACTGTGTTAGCTTCTACTTGTTGTATTTGTCATGCAGGGTACATGAAAAGTGAATACTTACTTTAACAGATACCATATAGGGATTTTTGTGGTCAGAGTTAAATTGAATTATGGTAGTAGCCATGTGAAGTATGCTGTTTTCTGAGGAGATGCCATTACTCAAATTAAAAAATGTAGTGTATCATAGAAAATCAGTTAAATTGGTGATCTTTCAGAAATTGAAAAGGTATGCTCAGCAGTCCCATGGGATACTGGCCCACATTGACCAAATGACAATTTGCTGTAATAATAAGAGTCTGGACGCTAATGGTAACCACTTTGAGCAACTCGTGGAAATGTAGAAGTTAAAGGTAGCTTGTATACATCCTTTAATGTTTGCACCAGTTCTTTTGTGATCACCCACAAAAAGACGGTTGGCAGATTGTTTTGGGTTCTATAGCTAGGCTGTGATTTCTCTATCTTTTGGTCCAGCACATCTGATTTCAGCAAATCCTTGCTCACCTTTTACAACATGCTTGTTAAGCATGCAGTGGGTCTTTTCTTTTTTCCACCCATAAATGGGGCCCTGGAATCCACATAAGATGTCTGCACAAATTTAGTGTTACAGTTGTTATTCAGCTTTTTATTTTGATAAAGTGTATTTTTAATTTTATTTGTTTGTTTGCAGACTGTGTGTTTAAAGGGGAAAAAAGAAATCAGATTTGTGATGAGAATATTCGAAACAAAACATTTTGTACATACACATCATCATCATCATGTAGCATGCCTTTTGGAGAATGTTGATTCTATCACTGCATGCGCGAAAGACTTTCAGTCCCCCATGCGGGTTTCCCTGCTTCTTGTATTTTCAAGTCCATCATGTCTTGTACACACCTTCATGTTGGTTCATCTCCACCTCTTCTTTCAAAAGCTGTGCTTTCTATAATTCTTATTCTTTTCTCATCTCACTGATACCAGGTTGTATCCCAGTGTCGTGGTTTTGTCATCTCACTGATACCAGGTTGTAGCCCAGTGTCATCATTTTCTATATTTGTCGTGCCCTTCTCGGGTGGCTTGAGTGATGGATTTGTTCATCTTTTTGCAAGTTTTAGCTACACAATTTTTCCATCTCTTTCTTGGTTTTCTTCTCACCTTCCTGCCAGATGCTCTGCTGCAAAAAGTCTCATATGCATTTTGGTCTCACTGCATTCTCATTAGATGGCAAAACCACTTCATTCTTTGTCTGTTATTATAATCCAGTCATGGTTTTCTTCCAACTTTCTCTTCAATGCTAGTATTCATAATCCTGACTCTTCTTGTGTTGTTAGTTACCTTGCCAAGACAGCACATTTCCACAGTAGTCTGTCCTATGTGTATTGAATATTTCTTGTATAGTAGCAATCAATTACACCACTGCTTGCTAACTAGGCTCGTGGGGTGGCAGGGCAGGAAAAAAATCTGACCGCGTTGGTGCCCGTCTTCTTCCAGGCGAGCCATTGCCCTGTTAGCCTGAATCCTTCCAGTTACAGTTTTCCGCGTGCACCACGAGGAGGGTCATTGGCAGGCTACTTAAATTTCACTTGTCACCTCTCTGAAGAGAAGCTAGCCAACTTGAATACTGCTGACTGCAGTGCCAAGCACCTGAGCACACCCTTACACGCCTGTCCATTTTTGCTGTTTCGAAACTGTTGTTGACACTTTTTCATCTTTGTAGACCATATTGTTATACTGTGCTATAGCGAAGCATGAAAATCACAGCCCGTGGTGATGGCACGTAACTAACAAGACCCTCTTGTGTAAAGCAAAGTTTTCCAGCAATCCAATCCAAGTCATTTTTTGCCGGTCTGACCTTCTATTTGAGGCTGTGATCATAACATTATAAAGGGATCCATTTTAACATATATGTTGCCAAGGTAATCAGTCCTGTCATCTATCGTTGGGGTCCAGTTAATAATATTATTAAAAACTCGTTTATTTTGTAGTAATGTCGTAGTAAGAGTACATCTTGGCTTGTCGGTGTCCTCCTGTTTTGGAGTCCTGGGCTGGGCCCACTTGCTCTAAAAGAGGACTTGACCTCTAGTTTGTCAGGCATCAAATCACCACGCAGTGGTGCAGCACCAGTTAATCTGCCTTTTAATTTCTCAACACACCTGCATCTCTGGAGACAAAAATCTGCAAGCCACTAATTCTTTGTGGTTTCTTGATCATGAAGTACACCTAAAATATATTAAACTTAAAAGTCTATACTCCTACAATCTGTTACAATTGATACGTAATCAGTGGAATTTTAAATAACCAAAAGTAATTGACAAGCATAAATATCCAGTGTTGCAATAGAGCAAACTCTATATTGATGGGTTGAACATGGGTTGAGTCCCAGGGGGTTTATCATCAGAGGCCCAAGGGATAGTCAAGAGAGACGTTAAATTGGCACATCATGCGTTCATTGGGCCTCTAGGTAGGAAACTATGAACGTATGATGCGTTCCTTGGGACTCAAGAGTTAAATTTCTACTGCTACTCTTCGTCACTTAATTGTATTTTTGCTTGACATTGAACATGGGTACTTTTAGGCGATACAGGGTATGTTAACTACAGTATGTTGATTGTTTTAGAATCTTGTTATCACTTGTCAAAGGAAAATAGATTTTGTGATAGGCAGTCAGTTTGGTTTGTTGTTGAGATTGTCATCTTGATCAAATAGTAGCACTGTTGAATAGAAATATTTACATTGAAAATGCCTCACTTTGATCTCTGCTTCTCAGTGTATTTGATGCAAGGTGTTGTTCTTTCAGTTTGTGTGATAGTATCATTTCACACTTGGTCTCAGATGGTTACACATTTAGATTTTACAAATCATTTAATCTTAAAAGCCTTGGTTGAACACAAGCTTTGCTCAGTCTTCCAGCTAGGTGCTGACACAACATAAATTTGCCCAACTGTAACCAAGCCTAACAATAGGCAATGGGAAAAACATGCACAGAAACAAAACTTTTGACTGACACCTGAATCAGTGAGTCCTACAAGAAGAAGAAGAATATTCCTAGACACCAGCACGTGCATGTACCGGAATATAAAATATAGGAATGGAAAGTGATGTTGCGAAATGAAACATAACTAAATGAACAAAAATAATAATAGTAACAACAATAAAAATAATAATAATTTTCATGTGGGTTATCATGCTGCATTTTTGGGGGGAAAAGTAAGAATAGACTCACTGCCTTACTCACAAGCATGTTGTAAGTGGCGACTAAGGGGGGATTTGCTGAAATTAGATGTGTTGAGTGAAAAGGTGCAAATATCACAGCCTAGCCCCGAGTGCTGTGATGTCAATTCTTGTCAGCCTAACTCATCTGGCTAGGTGTAGCAGGGATTGCTGAAATTAAAAGTGAACTTGTTAGGCATGACTTTTTTCATCACTATTGTATTAGACACTTTTGGGACATTTTGTGGTGAGTACCGGCCCCTTTTGTCTTGAGAAGAAAAAACCACTTGGCCAGAAGTAAACAAATCAGCTGTTAGAATGCAGGCATGCTTCTGGGGTTGCCAGCAGTAGTTGCTGTAAATATTCCAACATGCTGTTTTTACTGGGGGAGATGGTGGATACATTTTTGTCCACCATTACACTTATCTTTGCTCATAACTGTCAACGGCTTGGTATCCAACAGTTTTACCTGGCGTCAAATTCCAGTAAGCCTTGTGGTTTCCTTGGCTGTGCCATCAAATTACATGTGTGTGCCCAGCATGCACTATCCATTGTGCTGAACTTAGGTTGTTCCGACCATGTTATTGATAGGTCAGAGGTTAATCAACCTTATTGTTCACTATCTGATTCCTTATCTAACAATTCTTGATGTCTTAGGAGATTTCAACCTGTCAGACTGTTCCCATTTTAGTAGGACAAATTGACAAATATGGTCTTATCCATATCTGATGTTGTTCGAAACTTGTTGATTTACTCTATAGATATTTGAGACAAGAATCTCTTGGGCTATATACTCTCGCCATCCCCTTGTGGGATGCAATTTTTAGTTATTTTGAAGCCCCACCCTGGCTTTTGCCGGGGGCCCTAAATATAGCCAGGCCTGAAATATGGCCTAACGGCTGAACGTGGTTTCTGGGACCACTCCACGTGTGATCCTCATCCTCCTGTGGCATTTTGTGTCATCTGGTGTTTATCGCTTGTGTGATGTCCTGGTGGGGTACAACTTACATACATACATAAATCTCTTGGGCTAGTCTCTAAAAGGAAAAGATGTGTTGACCACATCACCCATCTTATCCTGATTGGTCTATAAAAATATAGGTCTAGGCCTTTATGTCCTATACGCCTAAAGACGTGGACAAGTGACTTTTACTTTACTCATTTATTTAATTGACATTTCCTATTCATTATTGCATTTTATTGCCAGTTAAAATTGAATTTTATTGATATTGTTTCATTCATGATTGTATTCTATACAAATTTTGTTTTATTTGTGATTCCTTGTTTAAGGATATTTTGTCATTTGTGATTGTGCCTTATTAGGCAGCTGAATAATTCTGTTACTCAGACTGATAATTTTGCATGATATTTTCAGGACAATCAAATCAAATGCCGACTTAGACACACTGGCAAGGAAGCAATAAGCCACCAATATGTTGACATTTTGAGAAGACCCTATGGGTTTTGCTCTGCAAGCCCAGACCAGATATTCCTGCTAAACCTGATTTACATCAGTTGCTGAGAACATTCAAATTGTAGCCATGGATGAGTCTCTGAGGCACATCAAGCCAAACCCAATCCTGAAAGCAAATGTTCTCTCCAGGGTTCTTTTCTGGTGAGTCCACGAAGTTGTTGTTGCTGTAGCATGTTGTTTCTGACTACTTCTAAGCTCTCTCCCATCCCCCTCTCTTTTTGTCCCATCCCCCTCTCTTTTTGTCCCATCCCCCTCTCTCTTTGTCCCATCCCCCTCTCTCTTTGTCCCATCCCCCTCTCTCTTTCTCCCATCCCCCTCTCTCTTTCTCCCACTATATTTCTCACCTACCATTTTTCTTTGTGACCATATTTCTCTCCCACCATCTCTCTTTCCAACCATATCTCTTTCCCCACCATCTCTCTTTCCAACCATATCTCTTTCCCCACCATCTCTCTTTCCAACCATATCTCTTTCCCCACCATCTCTCTTTCCAACCATATCTCTTTCCCCACCATCTCTCTTTCCAACCATATCTCTTTCCCCCACCATCTCTCTTTCCAACCATATCTCTTTCCCCACCATCTCTCTTTCCAACCATATCTCTTTCCCCACCATCTCTCTTTCCAACCATATCTCTTTCCCCACCATCTCTCTTTCCAACCATATCTCTTTCCCCACCATCTCTCTTTCCAACCATATCTCTTTCCCCACCATCTCTCTTTCCAACCATATCTCTTTCCCCACCATCTCTCTTTCCAACCATATCTCTTTCCCCACCATCTCTCTTTCCAACCATATCTCTTTCCCCACCATCTCTCTTTCCAACCATATCTCTTTCCCCACCATCTCTCTTTCCAACCATATCTCTTTCCCCACCATCTCTCTTTCCCCAATTGTTTGCCTCTGTGCTCTGAAGATCATGGATTCATTCCACTGACATGTTGTGGGGTCATTTGTTTGCCTCTGTGCTCTGAAGATCATGGATTCATTCTACTGACATGTAGTGAGGTAGGTTGTTTGCCTCTGTGCTCTGAAGATCATGGATTCATTCCACTGACATGTTGCGGGGTCAGTTGTTTGCCTCTGTGCTCTGAAGATCATGGATTCATTCTACTGACATATAGTGGGGTCAGTTGTTTGCCTCTGTGCTCTGAAGATCATGGATTCATTCTACTGACATGTTGTGGGGTCAGTTGTTTGCCTCTGTGCTCTGAAGATCATGGATTCATTCCACCGACATATAGTGGGGTCAGTTGTTTGCCTCTGTGCTCTGAAGATCATGGATTCATTCCACTGACATGTCATTCAGGTTATCAGTGTTGTCAAGTGTTGTGCTAAGAAGTGAATTCACAGCACTTGGGACATTCCCATAAGTGCTCAGTCCTCACTTACCACCACATGCTCGCTTTAAAGCTCCAGAAGTCAGGTTGAAATTGGTAGACGAAGTAACTAAACAGTCCGATCCAATCACCCTTATCAACTCATCACTAAAGACCATTGATTCTTACCCCGAAGAATGGATACATGTTTATACTGAGGGATCTGTATTCAAAGCCACCATTAAAGCAGGTTACGGAATCTACATAGGTTACCCTGATGGATCTATTGAAGAAATATTTGATGCATGCGGGGAATTCTGCTCAAATTATGAAGCTGAAATAATTGCACTGGAAACAGCAGTATACCACCTAAAGACTGTAATGGATGTTTATCCTTCAAAGGCCCAAAATATTGTCATCTTCACCGATTCAATGTCTGCTCTTCAAGCTCTGGAGGGCAGTGAACGCTGCAGAACTGACATAGCTAAGATAATTCTAGATGCTGATCAGCTTATTACCTCATACAACATCAGAATAGTGATGCAGTGGATTCCAGGTCACTCCGGCACACCAGGTAATGACAGAGCTGACAGATTGGCAAAGAAAGGAGCAACACAAGAACAACCACCTACAGCGACAACCCTACAGACAGCAAAACACTTATAAAAGCTATTTAAAAAAAAACTTTGCTGGACAGATGGGCCATGGGAGATTCCATTAAGAGAGGTTTATAGATACATGGCTAGCCCTGATCCTAATGACAGCATTAACCATTTAACAGGAAGGGACCAGGCCACCATCTTCAAACTCAGAACACAACATACTCCACTCAATGGACACCTAAACAGAATGCAGCCACAACACTCCCCAGAATGACAGCTATGTAACTACCCCTAAGAAACTGTTGACCATCATCTCTTTGAGTGCCCAAAACTCAACGAGACAAGAAGAATGCCACTCCCTCCGAGACCAGACAGGTGAAACACCTTGTACGGAGGAAAAGAACAGCTTGTGAAAACATGTAAATTCCACTACATGGCATTGGGCCAAAGGGTGAAAGCTCATGCGCCGCTGGATCAATAACAACACCAACAACAACATCGTCTGCAGCTAACTAAGAGTTCCATTTCTGATGGTGCCAGCAGCAGTTTTATTATTTGTTAATTTTGCCTTCCATGCTTGTCTAGAGTGTCGACTAGATCACCTGGCCACTTCCAGCTGTACCATTCTGTTCTTGTCTCTACAATGAGCTACATTCAGAAAAAAAGAAAAAAGCAGAGTGCAATGAAGTCAGTCCTCTCTATTTTTACTTGAACTTCAAAAAATGCACATGCAGTTTTGATTTTGAATTTTTAATTAAGTACTCATTTGTATAGGTAATCAAAATCCCAGATCTGCAGGCTGCCTATTGCATACCCTTAATCACGTGGGCAACTGCTGATCTGTTGGCTACTTCTGCTACTACCAGTGATGAAATGCAATTCTAATACTGTGATAAACATTCTGTGTGTTTTTCGTTGGCACAGGAGCGGAGCAAAGATGGGGTGACTCATTTGCTATGAAGCTGAAACTAAGACTACCAGACTACCAGACATACCCTTAATAAATGAGATTTTCAATATTCCAATATTCTGAAGTGAGGTTAAACAGTTATGAGCAGGATGTGATGTTTCCTTGGGTGAGCCTTTACCAGAGCTCCATGTATTGGCTTTGCCTTTATGGAAGCCTTCTTGGATGGTGGGAAATACTCATGTTTTGCTTCTGCCTTCTTTTGAGGGCTGACACGCATTATGTGGCTTCTCTGGACCAACCTGATGTGGGACACCACCTGGACCCAGGTAACACATAAATGAGATTGCAGTGTCCCACAAAACTAACCAGGAAGGTTAACCTGGTCAACAAATACCTGCAGAAGCTGGAAGTGTCAGTAGAAAGATGCAATTATTGCAGCCATGCTGTAAACGGGCAATTATTGCAGAATGCTTTTCCCCTGAGTGTTGAGCATCAACCAGATCCCATGGTCACTTCTTGCAGCATGATTCTCCTCAGACCTTGATGATCTATCTGTGCTTCTATACTGTTTGCTCTTTCCTAGAGGGGCCTTACATTTAGCTTGTCATGTGTCAGTTCACTAGTGCAGAACCAGCCAGTCTATCTGCTTGTTTATTTCTCAACCTGTGGTATTCCTGACAGATGCAAGAGTGGTACTTCAGGCACTCCAGTCTGGAAAATTACCCAGTATATAAATGAACACTACTCTCCAAACTAGGCAACTTGTGTAAGGTAACTTTGCAATGGATACTGTTCCACTGTTGGGTTCTTGGAAATGGAAAAGCTAATAAACTGGCTAAGGAAGGTGCAAATGAAGAGCAACCTGAGGTAACAGCTTCTTATCAACAGAAAAAGAAATGGATCAAATCAGTTAGAACGCCTCCAAAAACGGCACCAAATGATTACAATATTAGGAACAGACCAGATCAGGTTATTATTCTACTCCTTAGAACATGACAGAGTCGACTTTGCAGCCACATGTACACAACTTTAAAATTGGTGAATCAGCCATGTGCACATGTGGATTGGCATCCGAAACAACAGATCACGTCCTCCTAGACTGTCCCAAATACATTTCCAGAAAAAAACATTTAGCCAAGAGAAACACCGGTGCAAGACAAATAAACGGGTCGCTGAGTGAATTACAAAAGACAATGAAGTTCATACTAGAGACAGCATTGCAGATATAGATAATCTATTTCAAGCAAACGAAAGCAGAAGAAGAAGATTTCTTAACACACCAGCATGACCTGGAGAAAATATCCAAAAGACACTAACTATCTGGGACAACTGAAGTGATGCTTGCCACTTGCAAAAGTCTTAACAACTTAAACACAGAGAATGCCTTATTATTGCATTAACTCTTTGAGTCCAAGTGAGTTTAGCATCATAGGCCAAAGGGGTAGTAAAAAGAGACATAAAATCAACGCATTATGCGTTAATTGGGCTTGGTACCTATGAACGTATGATGCATTTGTTGGGACTCAAAGAGTTTTTTGTTTGGTTTTGATTATGATGAACTGGAATATGAAAAATATCAGTTCTGTTTACACAGGTGGTGTAATCCAGTATTCAAAAAGGGCTATAAGGCACCGCTGGAAGAATCTGACCTGTATAATGTGTGCCCATCAGATGCATCAGAATATCTAGGCAACAGGCTAGAGAGGTAGGTTTTCCCCAGTAAAAGAATTCATGTTTATTGTACTTGTCTGATGTGCCATGAAGATGAACACAAAAATTAACAATGAACAATGTCTATTGTACTGTCACCGTATGGGTTCTGGCTTTGGACTGGGTTTAGTCCAAAGTGTGTCACTACATTCATTTGTCTTCTTCTTCTTTGTGTTCATCAGCTGTCAACTCTGATGGAAGGTTCTGATTGTTCATCCACTTCTGGACTTTAGTCTTGTTTCAGAACTTGAGTTTTGTGTCACTTGTTTTATAAGTCTGGCTTATGTGTGTGCAGACTGTTGGTTCCTCACCTGTCTCTGATGGATGCACTCTGACTTTGAAGGAAACACCCCTGATTAGTTGACTTTTTATAACCTGCTTCTTAAGGGGGCAGTGAGTCTATTCCCCCCACCCCCCATGAAATAAAAATTGAGTCTGGAACCCACACAGGAAGCACCCAGTTGTGAAATTTGCTATGCACCCGGGAAAAAGAGATGGGTCATCACTCATACCACCTTATTTGCCTAGAAAGACAATAACTAATTTTTTTTTTTTAAATCTGTGTGTGGATTCTGGAGCTCTATTTTGTTCAGGCCCTGCTCTTTAAAAAGTTTTTGTTATTGTTGAGGGGGCTGTGTGGTCTTGAGGCATGGTGTCTGCCTCAAGTGCTAGAGGTTCCGGGTTCAATACTGGGTAAGGGCTGGGATTTTTTTCACATGGACTTGGACTTCTAGAAATTTCTCCTGGTCTCTGGGTAGTGAGATCGGACGCCTGTGTGCATTGTTGCGCACGTAAAACATCCCGAGGCAGTTGGAAATCGAAAAGAGTAGCCTAACAGCGCTGCCCAAGCAAAATTGAGCGTTGAAAAATCTACCCAAAGTATTTCAGGATCCTCGCTAGTGCTACAGAGCCTGTGCACTGTGATGAGCTTCTTCGGACTCAGACTTGAGTTAGAAGAAGAACGGAGAACTTATGGGTTACTACCCGTGTGCCATGATGTTGATCCGTTGTTCAAAACTTCAACACCTTTTGTAAAAAGTAATGGATTAAGGATGTGCTCAGATCAGATTTGTGGGGCCACAAGGTGCAGAAATCACAGCCTAGCGGTAAACAACAACTGTGTATGCTAACCGCTCTTTTAAGGGTGAAGAAGGAGAAGATGGTTTCTATATTCTTTTACAATTAAATAATCTGTGCAGTATTTAAAAATCAGAAGTAATGGATAAGCATAAATATCCATTATGGAAATAGGCACACCTAAAAACACTATATATCTCAGCTAGAACCCAGATGGGTTTAACAGGATACCATTGCTTCAGCTACTATTATTTTTGTTTATTGTATGGATTCATTTAGCATTTACCATTGCTAACCTGTACTACTTAACTTTTGTATATGTTTGTGTTTATTCTATTTAGTATTTGGTGCATTGGTCTCTCACTGTTTTCCTGATTTGATTCCAGTGGCTAAATATAGCTTAATATTTTCTTGGAATCCTTTTTGTTTACTCAGCAGTATTCTTGTTCTTCTTCTTGTTCTTCTTCTTGTTCTTCTTCTTCTCTTTCTCCTGCTCCTCCTCCTCTTTTTCTTCTGCTTCTTCTTTTTCTTCGGTTGACATTTTGTGTTGTGGTTTACAGCTAGCTGTAATATTTGAACCTTTTGACCCAACACACATGATTCCAGCAAACCCTTATTCTTTGTAATTCTATTCTTCTTCCCCTAGTATGGGGCCTCAGAACCCACGCAGGACAGCAACCTAATTTTCTTGTTCTGTTTATAAGTACTTGCCATTATCGAAGCCATGCATCACAACTGAGACACATGAAATACAAGTATAAGTAATCAGGTAGTGTGTTTGTTTTGCATAACTAAAATGCAAACATGCACACCTGTTGCCTGACTGCAATGCGTAACGCAGATTGATTATTATATACATAAGCACACTCCACAGTCAGGTCATGTATTTGATATTGGCTGTATGTAAACATGGTCTGGAAGGCTTCTACTCATCAGACCTTTTATAAATTTTTCAGCTTCTTATCATCAGACATGGTTTCCTTTCAATGAATGTTTTAGCTTCTTATCATCAGATGTGGTTTCCTTTCAATGAATGTTTCAGCTTCTTATCATCAGACACGGTTTCCTTTCAATGACTGTTTCAGCTTCTTATTATCAGACATGGTTTCCTTTCAATGAATGTTTCAGCTTCTTATCATCAGACATAGTTTCCCTTCAATGACTGTTTCAGCTTCTTATCATCAGACATGGTTTCCCTTCAATGAATGTTTCAGCTTTTTATAGTCAGACAACTTCTGTAGAGGTTTCTTTACCATGAACATTACAACTTCTGAAGAGGTTTCTTTACCATGAACATTACAACTTCTGAAGAGGTTTCTTTAACATGAACATTACAACTTCTGAAGAGGTTTCTTTACCATGAACTTTACAACTTCTGTAGAGGTGTCTTTAACATGAACATTACACCTTCTGAAGAGTTTTCTTTAACATGAACATTACAACTTCTGTAGAGGTTTCTTTACCATGAACGTTACACCTTCTGAAGAGGTTTATTTACCATGAACATTACAACTTCTGTAGAGGTTTCTTTACCATGAACGTTACACCTTCTGAAGAGGTTTATTTACCATGAACATTACAACTTTTGTAGAGGTTTCTTTACAATGAACATTACAACTTCTGTAGAGGTTTCTTTACAATGAACATTACACCTTCTGAAGAGGTTTCTTTTCCATGAACTTTACAACTTCTGAAGAGGTTTCCTTTTATAAATGCTTCAGCTTTTGATTGTCATCTGAGTAGCACCTTTACATGTCTTCAGTCTCAGAAACTATTGGTTCCCTGTTGTGTGGACAAATCACCAGGCATATCACCAGTAGAGTTTTTTTTTAGTTTCAAAATAGTGATCAGGTGCAATATGTTTCTGTTGTTTATCTCATGTTTCATGTAAGATCCTGAAAATGTCGGCAAAGGTTCTTGTGTTTGTTACTGGAGACATCAGGCAAATGGTGCTAGACGTAAATGTTTATGCACATAATCGCTGATGTGAAAACTATAATGCCAGCCACTTTTACTTCTTTTACTTCCCAAGACATTCCCTGGTACCACTTTTAGGCTGGGTTGACTTGGGAACCAAGGCAGTAATTTAAAAAATCCCTCCTGATGCCTAATTGCTGGATGGACACAGGAGTTTAGGAAGAAGCAAATAATTAAGGAGTAAACCGTGTTGAGCTGCTTGATACACAAATGGCTAATTGGACATGTTTTTATTATTTGTGTTTACCAGCAGTAACCACCGCCGCAAAGTTGTGGTTGTTTTTCGTCCACTTCTGGACTTTAGTCTTGTTCCTTCTTGGAGTTCACCGGATGTAAACTCTGGTGTAAAGTTCTGGTTGTTTGTCCACTTCTGGACTTTGTTCTTGTTCCAGAATTGAGTTTTCCATGCACATCCAATTTACAGGTCTGGCTTATTTATATACAGGCTTCCCCATGTGGGTTTCAGGGTCCCATTGTGGGGAAAACAAGAATAGAGCCACTGCCTGCCCAGAAGCATGTTGTAAGAGTCGACATTTTCAGGTAGCTCTTCAAAGTCAGAATGCATCTACCTGAGCGGCAAGGAACAGGAACAACCAGCTGCACAAAATAAACCAGTAAAACAGATGTGCACGCAAATGGACGAACAACCATCACTTTTGGCGGGAGCTTACAGCTGATGAACAAAGAAGAAAAAGATATACATGCTATTGGTTCCTTGCTTCTCAGGCAGAGGCACCCCGACTTCAAAAGAACCATTCCTAATTAGTCACTTGTACAACATGCTGGTTATGTGGGCAGTGGGTCTGTTTGCTTAAAATGCGGCCCCAGAACCCACACACAGACAAGGAAACTAACTCTCCCATCTTTCATGTCTCATCTTAGAATATATGCAGGTCAGACACTAGACACCCGCATGTCTGTAGCTGCTGTGCCATGTCAGTAGCTGCTGTGCCATGTCAGTAGCTGCTGTGCCATGTCAGTAGCTGCTGTGCCATGTCTGTAGCCGCTGTGCCATGTCAGTAGCTGCTGTGCCATGTCAGTAGCCGCTGTGCCATGTCTGTAGCTGCTGTGCCATGTCAGTAGCTGCTGTGCCATGTCAGTAGCTGCTGTGCCATGTCTGTAGCCGCTGTGCCATGTCAGTAGCTGCTGTGCCATGTCAGTAGCTGCTGTGCCATGTCAGTAGCTGCTGTGCCATGTCAGTAGCCACTGTGCCATGTCAGTAGCTGCTGTGCCATGTCAGTTGCTGCTGTGCCATGTCTGTGGCTGCTGCACCATGTCAGTGGCTGCTGTGCCATGTCTGTGGCTGCTGTGCCATGTCAGTGGCTGCTGCACCATGTCAGTGGCTGCTGTGCCATGTCAGTAGCTGCTGTGCCATGTCAGTGGCTGCTGTGCCATGTCTGTAGCTGCTGTGCCATGTCAGCTGCTGCCCATGTCAGCCGCTGTGCCATGTCAGTAGCTGCTGTGCCATGTCAGTAGCTGTGCTGTCAGTAGCTGCTGTGCATGTCAGTAGCTGCTGTGCCATGTCAGTAGCTGCTGTGCCATGTCAGTAGCTGCTGTGCCATGTCAGTAGCTGCTGTGCCATGTCAGTAGCTGCTGTGCCATGTCAGTAGCTGCTGTGCCATGATCATTTTTGTCTTTACCTGCAGGAAAAAAAAAAACAAAGGCGATCCACCCATACTGAGCACTGGGTCTTCCTCCCTCTCCACCATCCCTATAATTGATCCAGGAACCTGCACAGGGAGTCAAGCATATGATGCTTCACATATATTTTGTTTAACTTCTGAGGACTTTACCTGGTGCTCAATTTAAGCTGGCTGGGCCGACCTGGGAGCAAAAGTCATTTTTAAAAAGCATCTAGCCATTACACCACTGAAGCTTCATGTACTGGATGAGTTAAGAGTTGATGAACACTGACATGGTACAGATTCCAGTTGAAACTGA